CTGCCCTGCATCCACAGGATGAGCAGAGCACACAAACACTCAAATTCGGATTTCTATGCATGAGCACCTCCCGCTGACTTGCACTCAATTATATTTGCTCTGCTACGCTGTTCTGAACTGAAACCTGTTGAGGGGTAAGCGCAGGCCCAAATAATAAAAAAAAGGCTTCTGGCACTTTGAGGTTTTACAAAAGATGCTGTCTGGCGTCTACAAAACCAGTAACCTGCTTTATGAGCCTTAATGGTAGACAAAACACCGGCTTCTCAGGTTTCCCATCTTTTAAGGGATATTTTACCTAATCTGGTCCTAGCAAATACTGCGATACCTGCACAAACACACATGCATACTCAGACCATAGCATTCCACTATATTTTTATTAATTACAACTGCTTGTTAAACCCCATCACCATCACTACTGCAGTGCGTGGAGACTGACGTGTGGTCTTGTCGTCTGCTCTCCGGCAGGAACTGGAAAGAAACAAACAGCTCTTCTACAGCTGATTTACTATTGACATTGAGGGAAGGATGGCTGGAACATGACATGGACTCTTCAAAATACGAAACAATTCTAGGCATCTGAACCTGGTTTAGAATTACAGAAACGTTTTCTGACACAAATGTGTCTTAGGTGCCACTGTCACCTTGCACTTTTTTCTTTTCTTACCAGGACACAACCCTAGACTTAATCTTTTGCTAATAGCACTTAAAGAAAACAGCAGCTATCTTCCTTCTCTGGTCACCAGGCACACTGCACAGCCCACTAGTCTCTACTGGATGATCCCTGTAAATTTCGGCCCTGCGCCAGCATAGACCTGTGCCCCAGGGCAGTGACTGAGGAAGAAAAGCTGTAGCTGAACCCCAGCAGGTCTGCTGGGCCACAGGGGCCACTCATTCCACAGCAGACTCCTGGGAGACCAGATCAGGCGGAATCCATTAGGGAGTCTGGCTCCTCCAAACACACAACAAGCACAACACAACTGTGCACACAGGATCGCAATAAGGAGTCTGCTGGAAAGGAGTCAAAATAAAATACCCAAAAAGGATGTATTGAATCTTTCCACTATTTCAGAAGGAAGTTACCATTTGATGAGTCCTTTAGTTTCGGACTACAATTCCCTAGGAAGCGGAAAATCAATGACCCGACTGCCACCAGGGGGTGGGCTGGATTTTTACGACAGTCTCTCTCCCAAACCTGTGGCTCCCATGACGCTGTGGGTGTCTGTGAGCTGGCAAGAACACGGGTAAGAGACGCGTTGCTCCTCCAATCAGAGCTCACTATCCTATGTCCAATGACAACTAGTTCTGCAGGTGGGCGTGTCGGAGGGGGCGTGTCTGCACGTTACTCTTTACCAAGCAGGTAAACGACAGGTAAAGTGCTTAAAATCTACCAGTGTTTAAAACTGGTCCATTTCTTACATGAGCTTCACAAAGCATTCCGGTGATTTTCTTAAAAATCTAGATCTTGTCTAGATCTCGTTATAGGTCGTGGTACTGCAAACCCTCCAGCATAAATTCTCAGGCAATAATAAGCATAGGTATGTGATATTTAAATCCCTAAATGAATTAATCACTGCATCCTAAGGCCTGTGCAACTCTAAAACTCTGCCCCCACCTTCAACTGCCAAGGAACCTGTTCTGTGGAAAAGCAGCTTCTCCTACAGCAATCTGTACAGCAACATTCAGCAATCCCACTGAAATATAAATGCTGTTTTAAGGTCTGCAAAGACACCTCTAGCTTAATTGTATTAGTGAGACCAAAGACCAGCAGATAAAGGGAGAATGCTACTCCCCACATTTCGTCTAGTTGCTCAGTTACAATAGTTCTTATGAAGCAAGGTCCTACAAGCACATGGAGAATACAGCAGTCTACCACCTCTGGGTACATCATGCCAAGAGTCTCCAGTTTAGACCCAAGTCAGAGACACGGGGAATGACTTCCAGCACTGTAGTGGGAGACAGAAGAGTCAGGTTAATGACTAACCAGTCTCTGGATCTCTGACCCAGGCTATTTGTTCACTTTCGAATTTTTATCTAGCTGGACACCCATCCCCCGCCTGCTCTCTGTTCAAGGTTCAGTTTGAGACTCACAGACCTAAACCAGCATCTCTTTGGAGCTGGAATTTATTTTGCAACAAAGGGCAACAGGGCAGGGAGACAGACTCTACAGGTCCCCAACTTACAGGGCACAGAGTCATCCCTGTTAGGCTGGGGCTATTCCTCATTTCTCCCCACTGATACACATCGTCTGTCAAAAACAGAAAACTGGAGAAAAAGACATTAAGGCATGTGGAGCAGCGGACTGTTAAGTCACAGTTCATCTCTTTCATCACAGGGCACACATTTACAAACATACATGCACAAACTCACGCCAGGGTCATTTTTTTTACAGAAGCCAATTAACCTACCGGTATGTCTTTGGACCGTTGGAGGAAATTGCAGCCCCCAGAGGGGAGAACATACCCTCCCACACCCCCCATGCAGACTGCACCCCAGGTCTGGAATTGAGCCCCGGGCCCCAGCACTTGCAAGGCAGTGATGCTCACCACTGCCCCACCAGGCTGCCCTCAACACGAGTGCTTGAAGAAATGAATTGAGCTGACTCATTTGCATGCTTTCCATGACATGTGCAGTTTTGTTTAACAGATCTAAGCAGCTCTTTACTCAAAACAAAACTACCCCAAGTTTAGACCCTTACAGAGAATAACACTATCACAGTTTTGATTGCTGGCACTGATCAAAGGGAACTACAGCATGCCAGTCATCAATATTACAAGTTTGTTATTAGCTCTGCCTTTTAGTCAGAGTTCTTAGGACTTTTTGCACCCTTTCCCGGCTGCTTCGAGATGGAGAAAGGGCTGAAAGCATAATTTGAAAAACTGAAAAAAACACAATCTAGATGCAACCACTGATGGCCTGCTGCCATCTTGAGCGAGCACACGACACTTTTACACGAGAAAGAGGACTGACACTGCAACACTTGGTGAGCAGAACGCTGGTCTTGCCGTTTTGCATTTGCACACTGCTTCCTCTGAAATTACTGAAGCGCTGTGCTGGTGCTTTCACTTACAGCCAAACAAGAAAAGTGAAAGACTGTTGCTCTGGCCTACCTCAGGAAACAGACAGCTGCTGTGGGCAAATGAGGAAGAAATTGCGCCCAGGATTACAAATCCACACTTTGCCCCCAGCCCCATACAGGGCCTTCCGAAACCTTGCGCTCCTGTGCGCAGAACGCTCTGAAGGCCCTTTTGAGCCTTCAGAAGCTACGAAAGTAGACAACACACCCTAGATTTACACATGATCAGCTCGGTATACACACTCATTTCATGTCCGTAAACTGATATACATCCGTTTGGTCTACTCTACATCCTCTTGAGAACTTAAGACACGCCAATAATATCATCAGCAGCTCTCCTGTAGGAAGGAGCCCTTTTCCCAAATATTATGGGGACCTGGCAGCCCTGATGGCAGCTTCCCCTTGGAGTTGACGGGTGGCCGGAGAGTTAGGGTCAATCTGCCCTGCATTGTGGGGCAGAGCACAGGACCTGGCAGGCCGGAGAAGGACTCAAGAGAATGGGGGTCGGATCCAACCCGAGCCTCTCACCCCCTTCTTCACCACAAATTCCAACCTGAGTTCTCGGGTCACCCGTGACCCTCACCCCCCCCCCTGCCCCCCTCGAACCCCAGAAGCGTGGCGCGGGACTCACCGTGACACCGGGCTGGCGCTGGAGGAGCGGCGGTTGCCGTAGGGGCTGACGGAAGAGCGCCTCCTGCTGGGGTAGGGGCTGCTGTCCCGCTCGTAGCTGGAGGAGCGGTGGCGGCTGCCGTAGGGGCTGTCGGAGCGCTGCCGGCTGCGGCGCCCCGAGTCCCGGTAGGGGCTGGGGCTCTGCGGCGGGGGGGCCCGCCGCCGGTGGTGGTGGTGATGGTGGTGGTAGGCGTCCTCTCCGCCGTCCGGGCCGTACCCCCCGCCGGGGGGGCTGTCGTTGGCCCCCCGCTTGGGGCTGGGGGACTGCGGGGCGGCCGCCTGCTTCCTCCCGCCGCCGGCGCCGCCCCGGGACGAGGGCTTGCCCTTGGGGCTGGCCTTGTAGCTCTTGGAGGACTTGCGGCGGTCCTTCTGGGACGAGCCGCGGGACTCCCCCCGCTCCCCGCGGCGCTGTAGCTTCTCCTTGCGGGACTTGCCCGACCTGCCGCCGCCGCCGCCCCCGTCCTTGCTCCGCGAGGAAGAGGAGGAGGAGGCGGTGCTGGTCCCGGTCCCCAGCAGGGCCTGGGCCGCGGAGGAGGGCAGCGACGACGCCAGCTTGGCCCCCACCTCCCCCTCCAGCAGACCCAGCCTGGTGGAGCCGGGGCTGAAGGGGGCCGAGGCGGAGGCAGATGTCTTCTCCTTCCCGCTCTTCCCCGACGTCCCTTTCTCTCTGTCCCGGCTGCTCTTCTTCTTCGAGCTCCCCCCTCCTCCTCCTCCTCCACCCCCCCCACCACCCGAGTCCTTCACTTTGTGAGGGTCCTTGGACTTCTTGCGGGGGTGCCGGTGCTTGTGGCCCCGGCTCTCCCCGGACACCCCGCCGCTGCCCCCGCCCCCTTTACCGTAGTCCGAGCCGCCGTCCAGGCGCTCCCCGCCTCGCCGGTCCACCGCCGACCTCGCCGCCGGCGGGTCCGAGAAGGTGTCGGAGTCGGAGCTGATGTCGTCATACTCCACCAGCGGCTTGATGGCGCTCACGGCTGGAGGCGCCGCAGCCGCCGCCGCCGGGCCCAGGGTGGCGAACGCAGCGGCCGGGCCCTGGCCCTGGCCCAGCGCCGAGGAGGAGGAGGAGGAGGACTCGCGGCCGTGCTTGGAGGACTTGTGCCGCCGGCGCTTGGAGGAGGAGGAGGAGGAGGAAGACGACGCGATGAGCTTCCCGTCCTTCCCCGTCACGCAGCCCGCCTGGGCGCTGGAGTGCGGCGGGAGCAGGTGCTGGAAGGCCCCGCTGTTGCTGCCGGGCGGCAGTGAGACGCTGGCGCTGGGATCCGGCTTCCTCCTGGTCGACCCATGTTGTCTGTCTGAACCGGGCATCCCTCACGCTAGCAGCGGCGCTTCTCCCAAATGCGGGCCTCTGCAGCCGAGGCGATGCATTAAAGGGCGAATAGTACCTAAAAAAGCACCAGGAAAAAAAAAAAGATTCAATAAAAACAAAAATTCAGATCGTGTTCTCCGTCCCGAACGCTTAATCCGAGTTCATTCCGGCTAGGTCAGCGCGGCTTGGGTCCGGCGTTTTGGTTTTCCTTCAAAGGAAAGATTTTTTTTTTTTTACGAAGAAACAAAACGAAAAATAGACATAATAGGCGGATGAGCGTGTAGTTTCATAGCTGATTAAATCAAGCAGAGGTTTGGTTTAAATGAAGTCGTTACAATCGTGCTGTCTCTCTCCTCGTTTCTCAGTTTTACTTGTGCTGTTATTTTTTCTTTTGTAAAAACAAAAAGAAAAAAAACAACACCTCTTTTGGTTATCCCCCTCGCCCTGTAGCAGGCTTCAGGGAAGGTGCCTTGATTCCTTCAGTTTACGGTCTTGGAGTTCGGAAACAGGCATAATCCATGATGAATGGGCGATATTGTTTCACAAAACTGAAAATGAAAACTTGAACCGGTTGGTACTGTTTACATGTTCGGTTTTATATAGACAATCTTTTAATCTCTTTATATTTGATATTGGTCAGAAATGACAGTATATTCGTGTGCAGCAGATGTTCTAGTTTATTTTGAACGGCCTTGAGAGTCTAACAGGCCTGTATTGAGGGCGATGTTTGCGGATTTAGAACACCCACTGCCCCTGTTGCTAAGACGAGAGGACAGACGCCATTGTGGCTCCTTCTAGCAGGTTGAGCTTCTGTCCTCGCTCTCTCTCCCCCAAGCCGAAGCCGGAAGTCTCACTTGCTGTCAATCTTCGTCGTCACCGGGCAACAGCCTCTCCAGAGCGACGCTCCGCCCTTATCCTCTCACGGGCTGCAGTGCCACCAATTAACCTCTAGGTGGCGCGTCACGAAGAGACCGGAGAAACTCCACAGGTTGTGAAAAGTTCAAATGCACTGAGGTGCAAGTTTTTAAACGGGAACTTGTTCGCCCTTATAACAAACCATGCACAGATGTAACCAGCTCACGTGTTAATCTTTAAACGGACAGCAGAACCTCCTTGTGCTCGAAATCGTTTTATAAATTACGTAGGCTATCAATGGGTATACGTAACGTCTGCCACAACACAAAACCACGTTACTAGTAAAACACTATTTGCTTTTAGACGTCCGTAACTGATGGAACGCACAGCACAAATGTTTATTACATATAAATAATCAATTACGCAATCCATAAACACTTTGTGCTTTTAAATTAAGAAGGTACCAGAGAGAGGCGTTTTTTTAAATACGCAAACGCCGATAAAAGTCAGCTGAACTTAGATTGTACGGTACTTTCATTACATATTTATTACGCAATATTATATATATTGATGCATTATCCGTTGTGCTCTTGTCACTTAATTCTTCCTGTTCTATAGGTAAATCATTACTCTTTGAACAAAACTCTCTGCAGAACTTCTTGGCGCTTGTAACGCTCAGAAGACCAAGCACGTAACGTTTCCTAGTACGTTGTATTCTACACAACCAACACACCTGAAGAACAAATGAAAAGTTGAAACTACTTCGGACCGGAGACAGGTTTCAGCCACGTTTCTCGAGGTTGTTGGGGGATGCCCGGCCGGATCCCCAGTAAGAAACCAGACTGCATCGGATAGCACACGCACGGTATATCTTTGGATCTGCAGCTCCGCCTTTATTATTTTAGAACTAACAGCAGCAGCATCTGCAATGGCTTTCAACACAGATTAGATTTTATTTATAAAATCTGCCACGTCCTTATCGTCGCCGGGGGCTTCTTGAAGAAAAGTCCTTCAAAGCAGAAAAACGATTGATCCGCAGTTCCAGCACCTCCACCCTCGTTTGCTCGGTCCGAGTCGCCTCCTGATGACGCCACAACCCCGCGCCCCCCCGCCCCCGGCAGTCTTGTCGGAAACTCTACCCTGCGCGACGGAAGATTTTTATATTGAAAATGGCGGCGGTTTCTGGGGTTGTTATATCGGGTTGTAGCCCAGCGAGAGAACTCGGGCCCGGGGCACCGACCGTTGGGCCCCCTACGATCGGGGATCGTCCCAGACCTGAGGAGGGGACAGGTAATGACGTGCTCACGGGGGAAATCGGGGGTCGACAGCAGATCGGCAGAGCTACAGTATCGCGTTCTCGCTGATCTGTTACTGTATTGCGTTGAGATTTTGAGAATATTATTTAGTAATTATGAATGGAGCGCCAGGGGTTGGACCGGAGCCAGTGAAAATCACCTTTATATACCTTTTCGCCTTTTTTCGTTTTCAAAGAAAAGAGTCATTGAATTATTGAAATTGCAAAAAAATAAATAAGACGATCTCCTCCCCCTTTATGAGTTTTTGATTTCATTTTGATGTCAGGCGTGTTTGCTTTCCATTTGGATCTACGCATATCTTGGCTGATCGCTCCTCTGAGACATACCCTTAATCATAACAGTGTCACATCGTGCTGAGGTGGTCCTGAAACCCTACCTGAAAGCTCTTTGATCTGCACTTCCATAACGCTGTAAATCGCCCTGCATGCGGAGCAGGGAGTTTTGGGGTCCGTGCCAGTGGGTTGCCGCGGCTTTTACAGCTGTATGTAGTATACCTGTTGTTCTTCCTCTGAGATAAGTTTGTCAGTTTTGTGTAGCCTTGTGTACCAAATGCCTAGCGGTGTGTGTTGCCCTGTTTCCTGTGGGAGTGCTCTGTGTGTGTGTTGCCCTGTTTCCTGTGGGAGTGCTCTGTGTGTGTGTTGCCCTTTTCCCTGTGGGAGTGCTCTGTGTGTGCGTGTGTTGCCTTTTCCCTGTGAGAGTGCTCTGTGTGTGCGTGTGTTGCCCTGTTCCCTGGGAGAGTGCTCTGTGTGTTG